TATATAGCAAGGGGGCGGATCGCTTCCGAATAGGGCTCAGGAATTGAATTACAAGGACACCAGTCCTGGCCTAGCCACTAATCTCTAGGGAAACCTTAAACTACGATGCTCTTTACCTTCTGATGAATGGGGAATCAGCACACTCAAGGATCGTGAATATACACATCCAGACCAAAAAATTTCGGTCAAATTCAATTATTGGGATTATGTCGAAAGTTTTAATAAAACTTTTTTATATGAAAATCCTACCAGAAAACATTCTTGGTTTAAAAAAAATTTCCTAATTTATTCGGACAACAAATTCCAAATTGGTTTTTGAGGAACTTCTTCATAAGAAGTTTGGAGAATTTAGAGCTAGTCCTCTAAGTTTAGAGCATGCATCTACTAGCGGTACAAAAGTAGATGATGAGATTAATAAAATCTCTGAGAAATATGCTCAAAAACCATACCAAAGAATGTTTTACTACCCAAGACCTACCCCTCAAGATGTCTTGATAGAAGAACAGGACAACGATCATTACCACCAGGGTTATAGTGGGTCTGATATCTACGAATGGAATATAGATGGTCTTGCTGAGAGACAGATCTATACAACAGTACATAGAATGCTTATGTACAGTACTATCTGTAAAGTTAATAAGAATACAGATAGGGCAATTGCAGTAATGATTATTGTCGGATTTACTGGTCAACTGAAAAGCTGGTGGGATAATTATCTCACCCAAGACCAGTGATTTCAAATAATGCATGCAACAAAGACTGAAGATGATAAGATTGTTCAAAACCCAGTCTATTCTTTAGTCATGAATATCATTGAACACTTTTCTGGAAGATGGTCTAATAATAGTGAGACCATTAGAACAATGCTCCAGAATTTGAGGTGTAAAACCCTCACATCTTTTAGATGGTATAAAGATGTTTTCTTATCCAGAGTGATGGAATTACCAGAGAGTAATATTACTTATTGGAAGTCTAAATTCATAGATGGACTTCCTCCTTTATTTGCTAAGAGGATTCGAAAAGTCCCTAGAGGCACATGAATGAGTATTGATTATAATAATTACTCATATGGTAAACTATTTAGTGTATGCACTCAGGAAGGTTTAGCTTTATGTAATGAGATCAAGCTAAACCAACAAATCAAGAAACATCGTCTCACTGAGAGACAACAATTAGGTGAATTCTGTGAACAATTCTCCATTGATATACCATCCAGAAGAAAGAAATCCCACAAAAAGGATTTCAAGAGGAGAAAGGGTTCGCCAGATAAACGGCGCGAAAAGACCCAAAAAAGAAAGGTTTTTCATAAAGCCAGAAAAGTTTTTATTAAATCACAAAACCCTCAGGCCTGTTATAAATGCGGTAAAGTAGGCCATTATGTAAAATACTGCAAGATCAAAGATAAGATCAAAGAACTGGATTTATATGATCATATCAAAGATTCCTTATGTAAGATTCTTTTAAATTCTTCTCCAGAAATATCTAATACTGATAAAGGATCTTCATCAACAAGTGAAGACCTAAGGTTCCTTCATGAAGAAAGTTATACTTCATCGTCTGAAGAAGTGCAAGAGTCTTGTAATAAGGGACAATTGTCAAATCATTGTTTTAATATCGACGATGAACTTTTTAATATCTACTCCCAATTTAGGGATTTAAAGATTAATGTTTTGTCTAATGACAATTTGATTGATTTACTAAGGGTAATTAAAGACCTTGAATTAAGGTCCCAACTAATAGATAAAATTCCTACAAATCCAGAGGTAGGAACAGAGGTGGAAGAAATTCCATCTCAGAAAGAACCATACACCATGTCTGAAATCAGAAAGATGGTGAAAAATAAGTCCCAGCCTGAAAGGCTTGATACTGTCCAAGATTTAAGTACTGAGATAAGTTATCTCAAGAAAGAAATCTCGGAATTAAAAGCTTCAAATGTAGCTTTAGATGAAAGAATTTTCAAATTAGAAAATTCTGAGGGGATTAATACAGATCTCGGTGTTAAGATTATTGAGATAAGTAATATTCCTAGTTCTTCAAAGGAAAAGACTGGTAATACTTTATTGGCAGTAATGGATTTTCCTGAAGATGAATTTTTAGAAAAATTACAATATTTTATCACTCAAAAGTTTTTAATAAAAATAACTCTTTTAATTGATTACAATTTCAAAAAAGAGTTTGTTGCTCTATTTGACAGTGGAGCAGATTTAAATTGTGTAAAATAAGGGGTTATACCCTCCAGATATTTTCATAAAACCACTCACCGTTTAAAGAATGCTAGTGGTGGTGCAATGGGTATTTCATATAAATTACCTAAAGCTTATATTTGTCAACAGGATACATGCATTCCTGAAAGTTTTGTTTTAGTAAAAGACATCCACCAGGAAGTGATACTTGGAGTCCCATTTTTTATAAAATTAATGCCTTTTCTATATTGGGATACAAAGAGTTTTACTGGTACTTATAATGGTAAGAGTATCACTTTTGAGTTTATAACCGAGCTAGTTCAAAGATTTTTGAATGAAGTAATTTCAAATAATATTTCTTCAAAAATCAATCAAATTGAATTTTTGAAAAATGAGATTTGTTCCATTACTATAGAACAGGATTTAAAAAATCTCAAGCTAGTAGAAAATATTAATTTTCTCAAGAATCAATTTGCTGCTTCTATATGTGGTGACCATCCGAATCAGTTTTGGAATAGAAAGAAGCATATTATAAGCCTTCCTTATGAAGAAGACTTCTCTGAGGATAATATACCTACCAAGGCTCGACCTTGTCAAATGAACTCCGACTATCTGGAGTTATGCAAGAAGGAAATTGATTTCTTAAAGCAGAAGGGTTTAATTAGACCCTCAAAGTCCAAATGGTCTTGTACTGCTTTTTATGTTAATAAGCATGCGGAACAGGAACGAGGAGTTCCTAGATTAGTTATAATTTATAAACCCCTTAATAAGGTGTTAAAATGGATTAGATACCCTATCCCCAATAAAAAGGATTTACTGGATAGACTTCATGATGCCATTATATTTTCAAATTTTGATTTAAAATCAGGTTATTGGCAGATTCAGATATCTGAATCAGATAGATATAAGACTGCTTTTAATGTGCCAATGGGCCAATATGAATGGAATGTTATGCCCTTTGGTTTGAAAAATGCTCCCTTTGAATTTCAAAAAATTATGAATGATATTTTTCTTCCTTATACAGATTTCATAATTGTTTATATTG